CTCTCTCTCTCTCTCTCTCTCTCTCTCTCTCTCTCTCTCTCTCTCTCTCTCTCTCTCTCTCTCTCTCTCTCTCTCAACACACACACACAAGTGCCACAGCGGCCATAAACTGGAATCCCATTCTTTAAGTCAAACTTTCTTCCAGCTGCAGCAGGAGCGAGTGTCTTTCACTTAGCTCTTCTTTCCATTGCACTCGAATTGCACACTACTTTAGCATTTTACATCTTTTCGACCATAGATGTAACTAATCTAGGGGCCATGGCATTTCTAGGGCAATAAACTGCCCTAGAATCTACGGCCATCATCATGATGGCAGCTTAGCACTGCTTGCTTGTTTCGAGGGCAGTGGAACTATAGCCTAGTACGCCTTGTGGGCAGGATTGCAATGATGGCGCATCCAGTCCTCTCATCAGAACAATGAACCTGGCTGCATCACTCGACAACTGTGGGGAAAAGAAAGAATGGTAAGTGTACCAGACCCATTTTAATGGACAGATACACTTTTTTTTCGGACTCGGCAGCAGTGCAGCCAGGCTCCTCGCTATGATGGTTGACAACAGGATTTACTGGCCTGATCAGCCCAACTGGCATGGGGAAAAAAGGTAGTGGAAAGAGAGGGAGGGGGACGGAGGGGGAGGAGGAGAAGGAGGAGGAGGAGGAGGAGAAGGAGGAGGAGAAGGAGGAGAGGAGGAGCGGGAGGAGAGGGGGCAAAAGGAGCAGCAGGAAGATAACAAGGAGGAGGAGGAGGGGTGGAGGAACAGCTGGAGAATCATAAGAGAAGCGGTGGCGGCGGCGGAGGAGGAGGAAAACAAGGAGGAGGAGGAGGAGGAGGAGAAGGAGGAGGAAGAGAAGGAGGAGGAAGAGGAGGAGGAGAAGGAGAAGGAGGGGGAGAGGAGGAGGAGAGTAATTGTCCAGGTGTGATGATTCTGGCATGATGTAATGATGGACACAAGAAGGACATACCAAGATCTGTGAAGCGCTGAGCGCCGATGGGAGCATCCTGGCCGTATAGTCCAATAACGATACGTCCTAGTGGCTCGTCTTCAGCGGAAATGTCCAAGTAGACCTAAAATTATAATCAGAAAAAGAAAACACAGCGCAGCCATTCAACCATGGTTAAGAAAAAAAAAAAAAAGATTACTCAGATTGGGTGCTTATCGCCAGAAGCACTCATCCTCTGTCCATCCCCCAC